CCCACCACGTTATCCTCTACGCCCTCCACTAACAATCAGTCCTGGACCCCTATTAACCCCTTTGGACTCCTTACTGACCCTGGGCCCTTTCCAGCTTCAGACAGAGGGAGTCTCCCATGAATGCCACATCCATCCAAGCTCGCTGACTCTCCCACACTAACCCTGGATCCCTAGGTGGAGACCCCTTATGAAAAGGGCCTTCTGCCCTCAGAGGTCAGAAGCAGCAACTGCTGGTAGTTTCCCTGAGCACTGACACCCCCACCCTGCACTTTCTAGGGCTTCAGCTGCCCTTGGTGATTATGTCTGGGGGCTGGGAGGGAGGAGCTGGTGTTATGTCTGGGGGCTGGGTGGGAGCAGCTGCTTGCTGTGATTCCTCCAGCTTCACAGTTGGTCCTGGGGGTGGGAGTTTCAGTTTGAACCTCAAAGCCTTCCTGGCCCATGCCTGCTGCTAGTGCCTCGGTTTACTCAGTAGAGCAATCACTCCTTTACTCCTTACTTGTTTCATGATCCATCCCAGGCACAAGGACACAAGAGATGTATCAGACCCAGCCTCTGGCCTCGAGAAGCTCCCAACCTTCTGGGGAGGTGGCCAGGCGGGCCTAGGCATGACTGGGGAGGTCAGGCCCGGCTCCAGGGGTGGCTGGGCTGGGAAAGAGGCTTATTGATCCCAGCTCAAACCAATCGAACACAGGATGGCTGGGCAAAGGGCGATTTAATTAAGAAGATACAAGGCTCTGATTACCTGCTGGCACTTTCTAACTGTGCAGACAGCTGTCCCTCTACCCTGACCCACAGATGCTGTCGTGAGCCTGGGGACAAAGCTGTGCCACAGACATCGCTCTCCTTACTTGGTCAGGGGAATCCCAATCTAGCCACAGGAAAATCTGTGTGTGGTGGGTAAAAGACTTGGAGGAGTGGAGAGGGGCAGGGCAAGGACTGACAGATGGTAATAGGACAAGGGGAGAGACAGAGAGGCAAATTAAGTCAGAAACACAGGCAGAGTTGGGTGGAGACAAAGAGAGGGTTGGAGTTTGGGGCCTGCATGGCACCTCCTCCTTCCAGATATTGATCTGTGTGATTCCTCTAAATAGGGGCTGTTTCCCCTTCAATCTCAGAGTAATGCAGGGATGAGAGTGTTTTTGATTGTCCCTTTCACCCTGACCAGTGTGAGTTCCCATCTCCTAACCACAAGGAAGCCTGGCCTGGTGTGGACCAGCCTGGCCCATATTCAGATCCCCAAGATATGGGTTCTCAGAAAATTCTGTCCCAACATTGGTAGAAGATGAAATAGACATGGAGAATCCAGAAGGAAGGGAAAAAGGTGGACACAGAGGCAGACACACACACACACACACACACACACACACACACACACACACACACAGAGCTGGGAGAAATCAAGATGAGGAGAGACAAGAAAGCAGCCTCTCCAAACCTTCCTTTCTTTCTAGCCAGATGTCCAGCTCCTCTTCTCACCCAAGAAACCTTCTGAGATTCTACCAGCCATAGGGTTCCAGGACTTCACCTCTTTCCTCACCTGCAGAACCACATGGGATCAGACTATGGCTCCTGATCTTCTCCGTAGCTCATCTGATCTCCATAAAAAGACCATCAGCTCCTCCAGGGCTTTTTGTTTGCTTCCCTCCAGAGTGCCCAGAACACAGTAGATCCTCACTTAGTTCCAGATGATTTGAGAAAGGCTAGGAGAGAGGCTGGGATCCTAGAACCCAAGTGGCAGAGACTGTGGGAGTATGGAGCCCCTAATGGAGACCAAGTCAGGAGAAGGGACTTACCCAGGGTCTTCTAGGGAAACGGTGCAGAGCTCCATCACTACCCCATGGCGAATACTAAGGAGGGCTGCAGTGTGACCCAGGCAGTTGAGGAGGGTCACAGAGAGACAGAGAGAAACAAGGGGCTCCTGGTAGGTGGACGGTTGGGTGATTAGGGGCTCTGGACGGTGTGTTAGAAAGAGGGAGGTAGGCCAGAGTTGGAGGCAGAAGGAATGTGAAAGGGTATTCATTGCACCCTAAAGCCCATTACACCCTAAAATCCCCCAAGAGATAAGCAGAGAAAACTCAGACACAGGAGCTCCCCCGCAGGAGAGGGTAGCTGTTTCCAAGGTGCCCCACACTGTTCCACTTTAGGATTCCCACTTTGATCCCTGATAACACACCCCCAGCCCAGGCCCCAAAGAATGGCCCCCCTTGTGTATCCTGAACAGGACATCAAACTTTTTTCTCTCACTTCCCCTTCACACTGGGAGAATGCTAGCATTTGCAGACAGCCTAGGAAAACCAAGAAGACGAAACAGAAGAAATCAACAAAAAACAAAAACCAGAAAACAGAAGTAGAGGGTGTGGGGGGAAGTAAAAGGAGGAATTACTAACCAATCCCTAGCTTCTCACCCACAAATACTAACCACAGACCCCCAGCTAGACTGAAAACCTCACTCCTTTTCCACTCTGGAGCAGTGCCTCCTATTTGCAGCCATTTACCCCTCCCTTGCAGAAGAAAGCTTGTGGTCTGGTGCCAGAGGGTCTTTGGTAGCTGGGGCTGGTGGGGGTGGGAGCAGTGAATTACTGGTGGGGTGGTATGTTCAGTGGCTAAGAGCACAGACTTTAACACCAGACTGCCTGGGTTCAAATCCCAGCTCCATTACTGACTAGCTGTGACCTCGGGCAAGTTACTCAATTTCTCTGTGCCTCCATTTTTTTTACTGTTGTATTGGAGTAATAATAATAACTCCTGTATCCTTAACACCTCAGTTCTAGAATTTCTCTTGTTCAGGCCCAAGAAGGGATTGCTGGGCTCCAGTAAGTTTCATGTAGGAAAGGCTAGAATATGAGCTGGTGTTGGGAGTGGACTGAAAAAAATGGTGAAGGGAGTTCTGAAGCCAAGTTTGGCCTATGTTTTCCCACCTGGCACGTGCAGGCCTTAGATCTGGTCCTGCTAAGCTCTGGAACTGGCCCAAGTCCAGCCCCTAGGCTTTTGTCCAGGTTGGCACATCCTCCATGCTGCTCTCCCAGGCCCAGAGCCTCAGCTCTCCTGGTGGGCTGGGGTGCCATCTTGTGGCCATGGCTGGAAACTAACCTAAGCTGGGTATTGACCCAGAAGGCTTCAAGGGTAGTAGCCCTGCTCTGATGGTAAGCGATGGGGGTGGCTGGCATCCCCTCCCCAGACCATACCGCCTCCCTCCAATGGTCAGGGAAGATTGAAACCAGAGATCCCGTAGTGGGAAATCAGTGACCCTGGCTACAGATCTGT